CAACTGGGAAATTGGAGGTGACAGTAAGAAGGATTTCTATTTGGATCAAATTAATTTAAAATTTATTGTGTTCTCCTAGGTAATTGTAACTGGAAGGCTCCACGGACTTCCCAGCCACTACTAGAAATTATTCTCTCTCTGCTGAATGCACAGCAGCATCTCAAACTGCCATAGAACAATAAAATGTTTAGCTCTGCAGTCACAGTCATTTAGTATTTTTCAGAGCTTTTCAGCTTCACTTGTACAATGCGAACCACCCGAGAAATAAATGCAGGCATTTTTAAAAATCCTACTGTTCCTACAAGGAGCTTTGGGTGATGTACATCTCCCCACCTTTAGACTTTTGTCTGGGTTGAGAGATGGCAAGTGGTCTGAGATCACCTAAACAGATTTTCTGACTGTGCAAAGATCGGTCTGGGTTTCACTAATCTCAAAACAGCTATTGCTTTCTTTTCTATTCTGGAGTAGGTCTAGATGTTAAACCCCCCCCCAACACACACACACACACACACACACACACACACCCTCTATCAAGGATCCTGATCCAAATCCAGGGACCTTGCACCTAGATCTAGGTGACAGACACAGATTGAAAGGAATGTCTGTCTGTCTTGCCCCAGAACCTGTCATTTTAGCTTTCCTATTTCCCATGATTTCTCAAGCAACTTGTTTCTCCTCTCTGAGTCCTGGATGTGTTGTTATGGCTGGCAAAGGACATCTTTCTCCATGATTTCCTGTTTTTATGCACACCCTTCTGTGCTGTGGTCACTAATACTACATCCTCTACTTTCCTAGGCTAGACAGCTTCATCGTTGTAGTTTTCCCCCCAGAATTAGATCAGACCAAATGGGCTCTTTAATGCAGCATCCTGTTCTCTTCGGTGACCCAGATGGTCACCATAAAGCTCACAAAGCTGAAGTGACAGAAGGTGTTGGTCATTCAAAAGGAGGGGAAGCTATGCACATAATTCCAATGGCTATGCTCATGTCTGTAGCTCACCTGTTTGGAGCCTGATGTTTCAGTTCCTTTATATTAGCCAGCCTTCCCAACCTAGAGCCCTCCACATGTTTTAGGCAAAACTCCCAGGTTTTCTGACCACTGGCTACGCTGGCTAGGGCTAGTGAATATTGAGGTCCAAAGCCTCTGGGCATCAGGTTCAGGAAGGCTGCATTAGACATTTGGAGACTTTCTCTTGCCTGCCATGGTGCTCCTATCTCAATGAAGAGCACATGCCTTTCATGTGGAAAATTCCAAGTTCGGCCACTGGCACTTCCAGTTAAAAGGAGCAGGTAGCAGTGGATTGGATGCCCATTTCCCAGATCTCTGCTTGCAGCTAATACTAGGCTAAAGAGATAGCTTCCAAAAGTTTTTCTGTTCCTGCACTGTATTTATTTGTTAGACTTATCAATCACATCCTCTACCTTGATGTACAATAAAAGCAGCATGTAAAAACCCAGCAACCATGTACCATTGGAACAAGCCCCTTGCAGAGAAGGTGCATGCCTACATGCCATATGGGAGCATTCTAAAGATCTACACAGACTCCCTGGAAGGGCTTGGAGACCCAGAAAAGGTCCATGGGCCTTAATTTTCAGTGCAGGCTCAAGTTCCAAACTTACTTACCTTCATTTCCAGCACAGCTCCCAAGTCAGGAAGAATTCTGCTGCAGACTTGGTGTGCCTTGTTTGATTCTGTATCACTGTGACTCAATCATGTTTTGTCTGAAGGCACATAAGGCATCCACCATGTTGAAGCTAAGCAGCTTTGGGCCTGGCCTGAATATGGAGGGGAGACCATATGGGAACCACATGTAGCCACCTTGCAATGGAAGAAAGGTGGGATAACAATGCAATAAGTGAAATAAATAAAGGGACACCAAAACCAAGAGTCAGTGGGCTGGATGGACTGAATGTCATGCATTGATTCAAATGATTGAGCCAGTATTTTAGATCTAGAGACATAAGTATTCAATACTATAGAGGTTTTTTCTGGTATCAGCCCTTCTAGACTGATCTAGTAAGACAGAGATTTTCTTTTAATACCTTCCTGGTAATAACAATCTCCCCCCATCTTTAGAAACTATGGGTTGTGTCCAGTGCAGGGTCATTGAAATGAAAGGGACCTGCATTAGACTAACACTGAATACTGCTAGGCATGCAAATCAGCAAAACACAAACTCACTGAAGTTCACCAGATTCCATCCTGACTTGAGCCCATGTCTGACTGAACACTTCATTTCTTTTCTCTTCTCATGAAAATCCATCCAGATTTTTCCAAATGAGTGCATCTTTGAAATATGCATATTCTTTTCTCATTGACTGAAGTGCATTACCATTCATTTTTCTGAACCAGGCAAATGTCGGTTGCTACATGCTGTCAAACACAATTTTTTTGTTCCACAAGTCACATTGCAAGTCTGGAAATGCACAGATTACATCCAAGTCCATGTTCAATCCAGAAGATATGAACTGATAAAAATGAGCTGAAACAAATTGCTCATGCACCTCTAGATGCAACCTTATATCTGTATAAACGAGCTTCTGGTGGCCTGCTGGCTTTCCCAGCATTCTCCCAAACTAGACAAAATGGGGACTGCCCATAAGTTTTGTCCTGCTCTGTGAGCTGAGGATTTTGTTGGTGCAGGGCACAGAACCCAATGCAGAATAATTATAGTTATGGCTGGCTTAGTTCTTCTTGACCACCATTAAATTCAGTGGGATGGAGCATTGCTGTCTGAGGCATTAGCCTCAGTGATGGCTGATAATTTACAAAGGAGAAGTAATTGCGGAGAAAGGAGCAGAACCGCCCTTTGCTGTGTGCACCCAGCGTACCTCAGAGTCCTTTAATTACTTGCAAAATTATCATTGCGCTCTATTTGTTTAAATATATGTTATCTGAATTGGATTCACCTAAGGCAGTGAACAAAGTACAACCCTAAAAGTGCAATGTAACTTTTCTAATAAGCTTTAAATTCAGAAGAATACAACATGCAGAAAACCCTAACAGAGAACTGAGTGATTAAAATATAATTCAGTCAGTATTTAAAAAAAAAAAAACATTTTCAGAGCTGCAGCAATAAAACCACAATAAAATAACAGCATGAACCAATAAAACACATCAATTAAAAGCTCTTTGAAACAGGTGCATTTCCAGAGCCTTTCTTAACTACTGAGAAAACCAACCAGACATCCCTTAGGACAGAGTTCCACTAGGTGTTATGCATGTAATAACTCCATCCTCACAACCTAGGGAATGCCATGGGATGCCTAATTGTGGTAGGAAACCCTGTTTGGCTTGACTGGCAGTTTTAAAGCCCATTTAAAGTATGCCGCAGGGATGGGACAGCGGAGGGGGAACAGTTTCCGACAGCAGTCCTCTGTTTTACATCTTGTGTGATTGAGGAGCACGCTCCACCAACCCCTGCCTGCTAGATTGAGTGTTCTTTGCTTTTCTGTTGACATCTTTCAGAGAAGGTATTTGATAGCCCGCACCCATAGCCTGACCATCTGGATTGCTAAGGAATTCTGTTCATATCCTCCGCTCCTGGGCTATGTGCTTCTCCCATGCCTTCTGCCATGACTGTCAGTGGAACGGAAAGTCTTCATAAAGAATGTTCCTGTCATTCTAATAAAGCCTTTGAGTTCCAGAAACGTTTTCAGCGGTGCGGCTTTGTCTGGGTGACATGCCTCTGTGACTTTTTTAATCTGCCTTCCACCTTTTCTCACTGTTGCTTTTCATGCAAATTCGTTCTCCATAGGAGTCCAGATGGGCAGGAATTTTTGTTTTTCTTTGTAGGCTTCATAGATCAAATCCCTGTTGATTTTATTCCTTCTAACAGCTTTTACTGTCTATTATTTCTGTGCATCTATATGCCTATGCAGTACCCAGTTTGGGGCTGAAATCCTGATTGCAGCCACATGTTCAGAGGAGGAGTTTGTTTATTAGATGATACTCTAATGAGGCAGGACTGTTGCTTCCCCAGTTCTGAAGCCGACTGAAGTTGTACAAGTGCAGGTTTTCCACTCCTGACCTACAGTAACCAAGTTTAGATAGGGATGAAGAACTCCCAGCCTGCTGGACAAATTTGCCCATCAGTCTAGCCCTTCTAGCCCATAGGACTTCAGGCATGGCCCTTTCCCCAAGCTGAACCCCCTCGGAAAGGAGAGGGGGTGGACAGGTGACTCATCCATGACTGAGACTATCTTGCCTCTTCCTGCTGTTGCATTTGCGGATTCTCTGACCAAGGCAAGGCTGGCTTTGAAGACATCTTTTCACAAGGAAGTGGCTGGCTTTGGGCAGAAGGTTGGCCTTTTGGCCAACTGAACTCTTCTAGCTCTGTTTCCCACAGAGAATGGGCCCTCCTTTGAAATACTGACTGTGGATTTCTAATCTTTTACATCTTCCTAGAGGTTTCAACAAGAACTGTACATTGGTTTGTGTTTCTTATCATAGTATTCCCATTAAAAGAAAAAAACCCATTATTAAAATCATGATTGCTATCTGAAAGTCCAAATGCTATTCTTTTGAAGGAATAGCTGTTCTTTATGTACTTGCTTTGGTTTTTAGTCATACTCTTAACTGTTTTCTGACAGTCTCCTTCCCCTTCTTCTTTCTTTAGAATTTCACTCTTGTATGATGCTTTAAAAGTGACCATTTCATTTGGTTTCACAAGAATACCCCATTTTCTCCTAGTTCTGTTGACTCAGAGTCTTTTGCTAGGACTTTTGTACATGGCTGCAAAAAATTAGTCTCAAAATATTCCTTCCAACAAGGCAGTGCCCAGCAGTAAGCTAGTGACAATTGTACGCTCAATAAATATGATTGATCACTTTTTAAATGTGTTTTTTCTTCCCTTATTTTGAGCTACCTGAATGCCTTACAGGCTGCTTCTATATCAGCACAGGTTTTTTTCCTGTTTCACTAGTGACAACTTATAAATATATTCCTGTGGATGGAAAGAGAGTTGAGATTTTCAGTCTCTCTGTGTATATGCTCTCTAGGTTCTCCATAGAACAGGAAATTGATCTGAAGGATGTTCTGAAAGGCCTTGGGATCACAGAAGTATTCAGTCGAAGTGCTGATCTCACTGCAATGTCTGGTAAGAGTATTGTTGACCATCTTTTGGTTTCTTGTATAATTCAAAACAGTTTAACTGTATGGTCCATAAAATGTGAGTTATATACATATACTTAAATTGTGTGTGTGCAATGTTCACAACCAGGGAAAGGCAAAATGTGTTCCTCCCTCAGCCTGTGCAGCCCCATGATGCTACCATGTGAAACGTGGCTTTAGAGCTCTTATGGCCAACTGGTAGTTTCATAGCAGAATCATCGTCACAGCTAGGAGGGGATGGAAACCACCCCCACCACCCACTGACAAAAGGCCAGCCATTTTAGAGATCATGGTTGAACCCAAATGGTTCAGGAAAGAGGGCTTACCATTCTTGTGGGGGTATACAGCTCACCATTTCTTTTTGCCTCCTGTTTAAACTTTTAATACGTGTTGAAGCTGCCAGCAGTGTCAGCTGAACTCTCTGTGCCACAGCTGTCTTCTGCTACCAGCCAGATGTGTTGGAGTACAACTCCCAGGGACCCTGCCTGGCTGGGAATGATGGAAGTTGCACTCTGAATACACCCAGAATGTGCCAGGGATGGGGAAGGTTGGCTTTGGGCTTTAACCAGTCACTAGCCATGCCTGTCTCCATTAATGTTTCTGGCTCCCATCTTCAATTAAGTACTGTGCTGCTTGTTGCAGCTCTCATTTATGGATTTCTCTGCCTTTGGCCCTGTGCACTTTTCACCTGGAGCATGAAGCTGATTTTTATTGGGCAGTTCAAGTTGGCAATAAGCGCTCTGCTGGGAGATGGCTTATAGCCAACAGCAGTAATCAGCAGATACCTTCAAGGTCAGTGCCATGCTGGTACAGAGCCGTAGCTGCGGTGGGGGCAGATGGGTTTTCTTTCCTGTTGCACGTTCCACAACTAGCCAGATTATGCTGATATCTCACTGACACTCATTTCCCCACGATTGATTTTCAGTGAGCCGCTTACTTTCTCAGTTTGAGTTGGAAAAGGTCCAGGGAAGGGCAACTGAAATACCAAGGGGCTGAAGCAGCTCCCCTGTGAGGGGAAGCTCACAGAGAAAGAAGTGTGGAAGGCAGGAGGTGTGAAGCCAGCATACCAGCATAGCATTCACTTTACTCCCTTGGAGTAAGGCTTAGGAAAGGCATTTCAATCTTCTTGTGACTGGGAAACCATCAAAGAGTCAGTATCTGGGGGGAGGGAAGGGAAGGGAAGGGAAGGGAAGGGAAGGGAAGGGAAGGGAAGGGAAGGGAAGGGAAGGGCTATCTGCAGAACCCCAGGAAAACAGGTTAGGACCCCAGAAGGATGAAATTTGGCCCATGGGCCTCAGAGACTGTGGTTATTGATGATAATAGAGCTAGGGATCTGTTAGCATTTTACGTTCGTTAGGGTTTGTAGAAGGTGACAACCTGGCAGGTGAGGGATAAGAAAAAGAAGGACAATAGGGATGGAGAAGAAATTGGATGGAGAACAGAACAGAAGAAGCAATACAGCCAAGATGGCTGCCCAAGTTGCTCTCTGTAGAGGACCTTCTGCCTTGTAGGATTTCACTTTTGCCTCCACTTAGATTCTGCTTCTGTAGTTCTAAACAAAGAAAATATACGTCATTCCCATAGCTTACCAGGTTGCTGAAGGTGTCCAAGAATTCCAAACATGCAAGCATGGCTAGCGGTAGAAGAAGAAAGATCTTTCCTTCATAACCAGCAAAGAATATATAAAGCTGATGGGGAGAAGGATGGGGCAATGATCCCCTCCCTCCAAGAATCCTTGGTAGAAGGCAATCTTTTTCTAGCCTGCTGAGCAACTAAAAGCCTGCAGTTCCGGCTTCCCTTCTGGTGCAGCCAGTCTGGTAACAAGCTAGAAGAAGATGTTTTGCAGGCCAGTATCTTCTGTGGCCTCATTTACAAGGCTGTATAATAGGCACATCATAAGTTGCCAATGGTTTCCCATTGTTGGGGTAAAGAGGATCCTTGGAAGGTAGGAACCTCCTTACCTAGTTCTCCTTCCTGAAGGTCCAAGTAAGGAAAAGCTAAGTTATACAACAAATGGATTTGTTAGAAAAAGACGAAAATTACACAGTCTGCAGACCAGGAGGCACATGGTGAGAGAGTCTTCCCAAACTGCTCAACACCCTGGTTCAAGGGCAGTGCCACTCTGACCTGAACTAATGTAATATGCTGTGCCTTCAGTGGTCAGATAGAAAACAATATGCTAGGATATGATCAAATAAGGAGCTCATCCCAACATTTTCCTCTTCTGCACATGTGCAGCAGAATTACCTGCAGAGGCCTCCTGACATCACTTCCCAGGGGATTGCGGGAGGTTGGGCCACTGAGAACAGTTTATCCAATACCACACAAAGGAAACTAGATGCACTTTTGCTTGCTATTCCTGGAACCTTTCGCAACTCAGAGAAGCAGGGAGCAAAGAACAAACTGAAAGGAGCGGCATGCCTTTTGGTAAGGGTAGGCAAGGAAGCAATCATGTGATGTTGAACATGTGGTCCTTGGGATTTCACAGCTACATTCATGTGAAAGGGAGCAACTGGATTGGTTCTTTTGAGTGGAGAAATCTCTCCACGGTTGCTATTCATGTTAGAGAGAAGAAAGAATATTTGCTATTAAAGAATAAATTCTGATAAGGCACCCATTTCTGATGGCACCATGGAAACACCAGTAGTTATTGTAGAGAAATGCAATGAGGCCTGACAACTTTTCATTCAAAACTGTGAATTTTAGAGATGAAAATCTACCTTTTAGACCTGATGTGTACTAGACATTAACACCAGGCATGGCCCATCTGCAGTTTTGGTGCTGCAATGCAGCAAAACAAAGCAGCAGATCAACAGTATCTTCCTCTGGCAAGTGTCATGATGATGTATGGAGAAAATGAATTCTTGAGTGCCTTTGCAAGAGATAGCCAGTCCCTGAAGCTGAGATGTTGGGAAGAGTCCACAAAGGAGGTCTGCTTTCCAGGACCGTCTGTCCATTGTCAGAGGCTGAACGCTGGGCAGGATGGATCTTTTCCACAGTTCATTTGTTCTTACACAACTTTTATTTAGCTCCTGTAAAAAGGGCTGATGCAGCAAAGTGTCAGATTGGGCTATAAAGCATGAAAAGCAGCAGATGCATTGAATTAGCTTTGCATTGCATCCAAGAGATGAACATTTTCTTGAAGATTTAATACTTTCTAACTCTTTTTACCTTACGAAAACCAGGAGAGAACTTTAAACCCACACACCTGTTTTACCCGAACAAATTAACTCCTCCACCATTTAAAGATTAAGTTGTTTATAGAGGAACGTGAAGCATTAAGCACCGAGAAGATTAATGGGCTCCACAGCAGCGCTCTTAATTTTTCTTCATGAATAAAGGAGACATCCCAGGTGGTGTTGAAAAGGTTGTTCACAGTTTGCTATATTAAATTAAATACCCAGCTATAATTTTGAAGTAGTGTTTTTGAAGCACCATCTTTAAAATACTTGAAGCTCTTGCCTTGATGTAGTAAATGCAGGGCTTTGTTTATTTTCATCTCTCACAAATGCAACTTTACTTTTTAATTATTATCTGGAGGAGAAAACAAAAAGGGATGCAAGATCTTCTCTTTCCTCCCCTAAGCGGGCAGGCTAATACATGCAAGTATATAAATGATTTCTCATGTGCTCAAAACACTTCTTCACAATTTAGGGATGGATGATCAAATCACTTTTGTGCAACAGCCTTTGGTGTCTTTTGAGTCTGTGCTGATGAATTGGGTTGTTAGTGTCTGTTCCTCATAGGATTGATTGGTTGAATGGTTTGGATTTAGAGGGGAAGTGACAAGCTCAGTAGCAGACAAAATACTTAGCATGCAAACAGTTCCGAGTTGAATCCCAATCAGCTTGTTTAAAGACAACAAACAAACAGGTCCCAGGTGATGGGAAGACTAGGAAAAACCTGGAAAGATGGGAAACTACTGCCAGTCAGGTGGGTAGTTCTGATTCAGATGGGCCAAGGCACCTTCATATGTTTTATTGACCCACCCAATTCCTGGAGCTTTCAGCAGGTTAAACTTAATTGTACTCAGCAGAAACTCAAACTAGACAAGGCAATAGAGAGCACCATAAGAGTGCAGGTCAGTACCGGAGAGATTTACTGGAGCAGAACTATTGCAGGACATTCCTTTAACAATCCATAGCAAAGTTGCTGGGAACATTTTTGCAAAGGATACATGACCCAAGAGGTCCAGGAGATGCTTGGAGAAGATGACTGATTCTTATTTCCCCTTCAGGGCTTGTGTAGATCTCGCTGGCTGACCCTCCCCCACAGGGGCAACCCTGAGAGTGGAACTCCCAGAGGTGCCGAAAGGGAAGAGGAGGAGTACCTAGTTTGGGTTCAACCATTTTCTTGACATGAGCAGATGTTATGCTTCCGAACTCACTAGAGGGCTTTTAGAGTTTTGTAGCTGTAAAGCAGGATAAAGATCTGCCTGGTGTTTTGGAGCCTGAAGGCATGAAGGGAAGGGCCAGGTTCATAAGTAGGTGTGGTTAGGATGTTGTGCACAGCTGTTGTGTGCAAAGGGTGTGATCCAGCCTTCCCCAATTTAGGGCCTTCTAGATGCATTGCAATGTCACTCCCATAATTCCCTTTGACCACGCTGGCTAGAAATTATGGGAGCTGCAGTCCAGCATAATTTAGTATGTCAGGGAAGGCCACAGTAATCTATGTCACATAAAGGAAGAGCCTCCATCCCATTATTGATCTCCATGGCTGTAGATATCTGCCCAAAGCTTGTTTTAACACTCTTGCTGGAATCAGACAATCAGTTGGTGGAAATATGCAGTGTATTGCTTATTATCCTCTGATTTTTGTTCCTCTTCCAGACAACAAAGAGCTTTACCTTTCAAAAGCAGTTCACAAGTCTGTCCTCGAAGTTAATGAAGAAGGCTCTGAAGCTGCTGCTGCTTCAGGTATACACCATCTAAAACAGTGGACTAAATTATAAACACCACCTCTTAGCTGGTTGTGGGCATCAGGTCAACCATGAGCTTCCTGAGTTGGCATTATTTATTATTTTCTTATTTACTGAATTGGTTTGGAAACCGCCCAATGGCATCACATGCTCTGGGTGGCATTAGACATTTTTATATGGAATAATGACACTGGTCAATTTTACAGGATTTCTATAAGGATTAGAAATGGATGGATAGGTGAGTTGATGGATGGGTGGATGAGAGAGAAAGGAAGGTTTCTGAGCTTGTGTGTGTGTGAAGTTTGTTGGGCACACTAGAAAAATCCTCCTCCTCATCCTCATCATCAAATTACCATTGTGTTATCAAACTGGGGTAGACAACAAGTTCCCCAAAGGCTGTGTGCACACCCTTGGCCTCTAGTAAATCCCCACAGCACTAAAACTTGGCAGCAGCAAAGCTAAAGGAGTTCTTTTGAAGCTGATGGGGCTTCTTTGCCAGGGAAATCCAGTGGCTGGAAAGGGGTCTCAGACCAACTGAAGCTGCCCACCCCCTCCCTGCATTAAATTAACAGACCCTGTTTGAATCAATGTAAATAGCATGTGAAATATGAGGATAAGCTATTGGTTTGGCCCAACCAGGTCTCAGCCTGGTTCATACCAGGAAGCCTCCTGTGCAGCTGGGCAGCACACCTCTCGAAATCCATATAGTAGGATTCTTGGAAGAAGACTGTAGAATGTAATCACCCTATCTTGTTTTGCCTTTTTGGAATAGCATGCAAGAGAAGGGGTCACCTCACTCATTTCCACAGCAGCCCTAGGAAAGAATGACTAATTGGCCCAAGGTCACTCTGTGCTTCATTACTAAGTAGCAATTTGAACACTTATTGACTCAGTCAGAGCCCAGCGCCCTTCAGGAATGCTCCACTCAGATTCTAACACTTGACGCACATGGCAGAGAAGGGAATGTCCTGGGTCTACCACAGAAAGAGGATTGCCAGTCTGATAAGTGTATAAACCACAGAACCATCTTTCATCCTCTGATTCTCATCTGTCAAGAAAATGTGAGGCTTCTCTACCAGACTGTTGTGACGTTCAGCAAGGCAAACAACTCTGTCGCATTGCATGCCTTGAAAATGCTGTTTAGGGGCGAGTTGGTCATTACCTGGGGCACACTATTTTTTCTAAGCATTCTAGCCCTTTGCACAGGTTTGCATTGGGCACTAGGTAGGCTGAGAGCTCATTTAGAACTCAGCTTCACTTGTACAACCATCTTTTGGCACGTTTGCATACTGTCTGAAGCAGTCATGAAGGACAAATAAAGAATAACAACACCTTGATAGAATGCCTCAGAAGACACCATGGTAGCTACTGTCTGAAGATGATGTGGAAAATTGAACCAACCCATGTTTTCTTAATGCAAGTGTCACAAGTAGCATATTACTATTTGTTGTGGGTATGGGGACATTTTCTCTCAGAACAGATTGCTGAAGATTTCATGCCGACCCTTGAATCTGGGCAGTGTTTGTTTTGCCCCAGGAATAATTTGCTGATTGGTCACCTGATCCTACAACTTTCTTATTCCTGTACATTCAGGACTCTGCCTTAGGTGCATCATAAATCTAAATTCTTGAGCTAGGAGAAAGATCCACAGCTGATTGTCTTCCTTTATTTGTTTCCACTGGGGCTTTAAAGGCTTGCAAGGGGCTGCACCAGCACAGTAGCAGCAAGGGAATGGAGCTGTATAACAGTACCAGTGTGAGATGATTTTAAAAATCCCTTTGTTGGAGCCTCCATTGCAACTGTGGGACCAAGCACTGAATCAGTCTGCCAGAAATGTTTGTTTCCACATGAGCTGGAAATGGCACAGCGATGTAATTGTGCTTAAGATGTGGCCACTGTTTATGAATGAACAGCAAGATTACGGAAGGACCAGGTGGCAGAACCATTTGTTTGTCGCTTGTAAATATTGACTTTGCCCACCAGCAAGTAATTTTTGTCTCTTCATCCATTTGGATCATGAACTGATCTCCCCAGGTAGTTTTTGTTTCCCCCAAGGAAAAAAGCAACATTCTTCCTAGTGAGCCCTATTCATAACTATAACCCTGATCAGAAACCCACATTCCCCAAGTGAGGATTACTGTCATGTCTGGGCAGGCATGGACATTATTTTTCTTCTTGTTCTTTCTTTAGCCATATGTAAGTGCAACAATAGTAGGAGTTAATAAAATGCTTCAAAAATATAAAGCTTCAGAGTTATTAAAGGCTACCAAATTTAATTAAGATCAAATCCTGCCTTGTTGCTAATATGTTTGGCCCACAATATTTCTTTTATATACCAGATATTAAAAATGAAACCTGTTTGCTGTAGAACCTTTCAGTAAGAAATATCTAGGGAATATACATGTTTAGAACTTGCTCTTCCAGTTATTCTCCTGTTCAGTCTGTTGTCCAAGTCATTTCTGTTCTGTTCAGTCTCAAAGTCGTGCCCAACCCATCATGACCCCCATGGACAACATTCCTCCAGGCTATCCTGTGCTCCACCATCTCCTGGAGTCCACACAGCCCCACACCCACCACCCCAGTGACCCCATCTAGGCACCTCAACCTCTGCCTTTCCCTTCTCCTTTTGCTGTCGATCATTCCCAGCATCAGGGACTTCTCCAGTGAGTCCTTCCTTCTCATTAGGTGGCCAAAGCATTTGAGTTTAGGTGGCCAAAGCATCTTCAATATCTGTCCTTCTAAAGAACAGTCATGGTTGATTTAGAATTGACTGATTTGATTTCTTTGCGGTCCAAAGGACTCTTGGGAGTCTTCTCCAGCACCTCAATTCAAAGGTGTCAGTTCTTCCTTATGCTCCAACTCTCACAGCCATATGTTACAACTGGGAAAACCACAGCTTTGACTATATGAACTTTTGTTGGCAGGGTGATGTCTCTGCTTTTTAGTATGCTGCCTAGATTTGCCGTAGCTTTTCTCTCAAGGAGCAAGTGTCTTTTAATTTCTTGGCTGCAGTCACCGTCTGCAGTGATCTTGGAGCCCAAGAAAATAAAATCTTTCATTACCTCAATTTCTTCCCCATCTATTTTCCAGGAAATGATAGGACCAGATGTCATGATCTTAGTTTTCTAAATGTTGAGTTTCAAGCCAACTTTTGTGCTCTTTCACCTGCATCAAGAGGCGCTTTAGTTCCTCTTCATGTTCTGCTATTAGAGTAGTATTATCTTTTAGGTTGACCATAAGCTATTAACTATTGTGGTCCTTCCGTAGCAGCTCGATCACAAAAGCAAAGATTTCCCCTGAAAGAAGTAGCAGGTAACTGTAGTCTTCTTTAGGTATCCAGAATTCTGAATAATTTTGGGTACAAAATATTGGACTGATGGGAGTTTGGTCTGAGGTAGCAGGTTTTATATGAAGGACTGGAGAATAGGAACAAATCTTCATAAGCTGGTCATCCAGTTTCTTAACTGTGGTTGACGTTTTATCTGTACCATATCCTAAAAATGTAAACTTTGCAGTAGAAGTGTCATTATTTACCTTCATTTTTATACTGTCCCATAGCTGAGGCTCTCTCAGTATTACCAGCCATAAACCCACCAATGCAATTGCATCTATTCTAAGTATCTAGAGTAAGCCTCAAATGTTTTTTGCTCCTGCCAACCTTGCAGTTCAAAAGCATGCAAATGCAAGTACATAAACAGGTACCACTTTGGTGGGCAGGTATCTAGAAAAAGCCTGAAATGTTTTTAGAGAAACCTATTCAGAATTTGCATTTATTTGCACTGAAATCCCTTGGCTTACAATTTATATTTCCAGAATATAAGATGGGGCTGTGGGGAACAATCACAGTAAATTCAGAATTAACGCAGAGTGTGTTTCATCCAATGCGCTCCACCTCTGCCTAGTGCAACCCATGTTGGGTGGCAAGACTGTCAAAGCATAATGCATTTCCTGCAAAAGGGAATGGCTGTCATAACTCTCCATCCAAGTTCTGCCTCTTCGTAAGTTATAAGCTGTTCCCCCAGCAGTAGAAATAAATTCTACTGCTCCCAGTTGTTAATCATTCACAGAGCATAACTAGACACATCCATTTCTTTCCAAGTCTCTCTTCATTTTACATTAGATTGCTAGCTGTGTATCTTGTTGACAACCTGTTTTGGCATGGTAAGTTTTTAATTTCTGTTCACATGCTTTGAGTATGTCATTAATGGGGTGACACAGAAGGGGGGGAAGGAACATGATGTTTACTTCAGACTTTGTCTCCTCGTCTTGCCTTTGCCCTCCCCAGGAATGATTGCCATTAGCAGAATGGCAGTGCTGTATCCTCAGGTGATAGTGGATCATCCCTTTTTCTTTGTGATTCGGAACAGAAGGACAGGTGAGTACATCAGTTTCGCTTCTGTTGTTGTTGTTGTTGTTGCTCCTACTGGATCTTCACTAAGAAGCAGCCCTATGCTTCATCAGATTATTTGTCCATCCAGTCCAATGTTGTCTACTCTGGCAGCGGTTCTCTCTGGCCTCCAGCAGAATGACAGCTTTCTGATCACCTGCTACCTGATTCCTTTAATTGGAAATGCCAGGAATCAAATTTCAGATATGCAGCCCACTTAGGTACTGCCTGAGTTATGCAATGCAATGATCCACACTCAGGAATTGAGTACGGGTTGAGAATTGGTATAGTTGAAGCATGGCCTGTGGCTGAAATGTGAGCTATTCTGTATAACACAAGAATCCATCTTTCAAGATCAACCCACAGTGAATTCATAACCCACACTCCAGGTTTATCATGTTGTCTGAACCTAGTTACTGGATTCAAAAGGACTTAGAGTTGTGCAAATAGCAATTTGCACAAAGATGCCTGACAGAAAGGTGAAGCGAAAGCCTCTTTTATCCCTCACTCCGATCATGACCTATTGGAGAAACTTAAAACTCTCCACATGTAGCCCCAGTAATCCTGATAAATAGTGTTATTTCTCCTCTGTTTTTATAGTGATCTCTTTTCCTCTGCACAGCTGATTAATGATCAGCTGGGTGGTGGGGAGAAATGGACAGAGGCAATGTGTGTTCCGTGGAACTCAGGTTACCTGTATGTCAACTGTATTCTCTAAAAAATTGCAATCTTAGCCAATGGGAAAGCATGAAATTCAGGAAACAGCAGAGTCACTTGCACCTACAAGTTTATCAAAATCTGCCCTTTGCAAATGTCTGTTGCATGGCCATTCCTGGAGATGGATAGGTTTTTTCTGGCAGTTAGGATAAATGTGATCACACTCCTTCCTCTACACAAGGCATCATTGGAACCCATTCATAGCTGAAATCTGAATAGTGCTGGAACAGAAGAATGTGATGGTCAACCTGTGCCTGCATTACTACAAAAAGTATGCAACCTGAGACTCGGAACAAATGTGTCACATCGACAGTCTAATCCAAGTATATCGGCCTCAACTCTTTACAACTTCCAAGAGTATTGGAAACCAGTGACTGGGCATTAATCATTTAGCATTGTATAGTTCTAATCACGTAGGACAATCAGCCATGGAAGAAGACCATTTGTTCTGAATAGTTCTCTCAGTGGTGAATAGATAATTCTCCTTTGGGAAATGTCATGAGATGCAAGATGGCCACAATTGGTTCTCCTAGTGATTTTTATGAAAAGCAGCTCCAGAGGTGGATATGGCCACTTGGCTTGAAGCTTTTCTTCACTCATCTCAAAATGTTGCTGCTGTTCTTTAAAGGGAGAAGGGGCAGGTACCCATCTGCATCTGTCTCTTTCACTGTTCCAAGGCCACTAGCAGTATTAAGAGGCTAATTCTGCCAGGAAAACTATGTCATGGAAGAGTTAGCCTACTCTGCAGATTGGAGGCCCTACAGCTGTTCTTTATTCAAGTGAAAGCCATCAGGACAACCCATCATGAGGTCCCTCCTGCTGTTTGCATTTTGACCACGATTTTTCCTCTCTTGAATAGCTAAAGAAATACTAGATTTCTCCATATTTGTATCTTATAAAAATGCCCTTCTTTAGCCACCTTCCCTTTCTGTATTTATCTCTTTCTTATTCCTTTAGGTACCATCCTTTTCATGGGGAGAGTTATGCACCCAGAAGCGATGAATTCAAGTGCCCATGACTTTGAAGAACTTTAATATCTCCACAGGTTCACACGCCCACACACAGACACACAGAAAATAAGCACACTGAGTTGCAATTGATGTATTTAAGGTTTGCTGTGTGGTTTTCTCTCTCTCTCTTTCTCTTTTGCAATGTTACCACTGTTTAAAAAGAAAAGAAAAACGATTTCCAGATCTAACTTCAGCTAGAAATTGCAGACCACAGTTGTGGAAGAAAAGCTTTCAGTATTAAAGTGAATGGTGTTGTCCTTGTGATTTGTTGTGTTGGTCCTTTAAAATAAAGACCATATCCATGTCAGCGCCCACACGTCCTGTCTCAGTGAACTGTAAGACTGACTTCTCTGTCTGATCCATTCATTCCCAGACTTGATGCTCAAGCACACTTAACTCCCATGGGGGGAATGAAGAGTATGCTAAGGGAAATAGGCATCTGTGAACCCAAGGGTTCTTCCAGACAAAGCCTTTATCATGCAATCTTGCTGATACATTCATGGAATGACTGTGTTCTGCTAATTTTCCCACTGCTCTGTTTGTCTTTCCCCTTTCCATTAAAACAAATAAAGAAGCAAGCACCTGTCAAGGAGAGAAACAGCAAAACAGTTACCCAATGCCTGTTCACTGCTAACTGCTGGATCCTTTCATCTGGAAACATCCCAAGCACTCACCCATGGAGCAGGAGACCCACTGGATCTCATCATGAGTCACTGCTTAACCCAACCTCTGCACCAGATTCTTGCTACCTCCAGATTTGGGGGCGAATTTACTTTCTCATCACCACCAACTACTCTTGCTCCTCACTAACACTGCAAGGCATGGCATCTGCTGCTGCTTTTCCTCCCCACCACCATTGCGGGCAGGCAATGATTGCAATAATCACAAGGAGGAGCAACTCCAGGGGCTATTGCTGGTGAGTCCCAGCTGGCTTTCAGCAGATACCCATCTCATGCCTGCCTTTGATGTTAGCCCTGACTGACCTCCCAGTTCAGGAGAGTAGGTTTTTAAGAGTAACTGCCTGAGAATATTATGGGCATTCTCTCAGAGAGTGGGGGTGGGGGACTGCTGTTGCTGTCTGCCATTTTGTCTTCCCCAGAAAGCCCCAGAGCAATAGTCCCCTTCATAGAAAGAATAGAGCTGTGAGCCCATGTGGCTCCCTCAATTTCTGAGGCTGTGTGGAAACACTGGACTTGCCCCTGGTGTTCATGCAGGTTCTGGGCGGTGTGGAAATTCGCTATACAAAGGCTTTTCTTCACAGTCTTAAAGTGTGAACAACAGGCAGAGCCAATCATTTTGAAAGTTGACTCAACACTAGTAATTATATTAGATTGGATGGGATGGTCCAGTTGTTCTAGATGTTCAGCAGAAATCCACAACCTCAGAGGGAACTCTTAGTTGTTTCCCTGCTTCCTCTAGGCCTGGGGAAGAAACCGTACGCAAGTGTATGCAGAAACATGGAGAGCCAGTGAGAATCTTTGGTTCTTTGGTGTTTAATTCTTAGTTTTACACAGCCTCAAGGTAAAATTTTCTAGGTATGATTGAGGTGTGTTTGCTGTTTTATTTCTGGGAACACCATTCTTCAGCTTTTAGAAGCTCAGGAGCCTCTGCTTGAAACAGAGTAGCTGCCATTGTAAATTGCAAAAGCTACTAATTGATGGAGGTGGGAGTTAATAATTTATCAGAATTTAATGCATTTCTTTCCTGAAAGCAGTTTACAGGAATTCACATGATTCCTTCAGCAATGCCTTAGATTACTCATGAAAAGTAGCAAAGGAACATTGCTATGGGGCTTGGTTGCAGTTGCACAGACAGATCACCGTGGCTTTGCATTCTGTTGAAAGCAACGGGTCACAAGTTAAAGGCAAACCTGCTTTGATTCCAGTGTTGCTTAGTCACAACTAATGTCAGCTACAATCTATGAGAGTCATATATTTAATTCAGCCCTCCGTTGAACTCTTACTGATAATGTGTCTGGTGCAAATATACTAGCATGCAAAAGCTGGATTTCCCCACTGCAGCTCCCACTGCATTTACTATGGATCTCGTCTTTCTTTCTGAGGACACTGAACACATTTAAAGGCAACCACGTTAATGCTTGGGAAGAATGAGTGCAAGCTTAGCTGAAATAACTTGGGTGGCAATCCTATGTTTTTGAGAGTAAAGACTTCAGTCAACATGCATAGAATCAAGGCTACATAATGGTCAAATCCCATCCTGCTATTTACCAGTTGCTAGCTAATTTCTCCTTTTTGGGTTCATTGCTTTTCACTGAACAAAGAGAATGTTGGTTAGAGAACCACTGTGATAGACAGCTACTTGGATAATGGGAAATCGGTGATTTAATAACAAAACATTTTTGTCTCCCCATTTAGAAATTATTCTCTTGCCTTCTAAAACAGAATGGCATTTCCAACAATCTAGATCTTTGCTAGAATAATAGAACATGTCACTATTTATTGGAACAAGACAAACTTAAACAGTCAATAACACGTCGACTTGGGTATATAAATATTTTTACATAATTATTTTCTATACAGGCCAATAGCCAAAACTCTTTGGATAGGCAGTAAATAATAAATACAAGAAAATACAATATAGATGAAAATAATAAAACATCATAATATTACATAAAAATAAAACTTAGGTACACAAACCCATCCAAGCACCTTGTCAGTATCCTCAGCTGGAACTCATACTATCAAACAGAACTAGGCTGTGCTCGGGGTACCTCACTTAGTCAATTGCCGTAACATGGGAGTCGCTGCAAGAGATTTCATTGCTTCAAGGTACCTAAATGATCTGGAACTCAGGCTCATAGGACAAAAACTTGCACTAAGACAAAAACTTGCCTTAGTAATTTATATATTCAAATTGCATCATTAGAAATAATTACCATGATCTGAATTTTGTAGAAGGTAAACTCATTAACCTCTTGCTTGTTTTGAGGACAGAACTGGGCAATTTTCCCAATTGTGCTTGCTTAAAATCAACCTTCTATAACCCTATATTTTCCTTAGTCTTTCAGGCCCAAATCCAGATAAGGAGGATGGAAGAGCAAAGAACTATATGGCATCTTGAACATTTACCAATTAATTTCCAACTGAGCATGGCACACTAGCAAATGTTTTGCAGACAATGATAACCCAGATGCTTAGGCTGCAAACTTACCAGTTTCTAGGCAGTAACCCTCATTAAACATAGTGGGTGTTACAAGGAAATCTTTACTCATTTCCCCAACACACACACACACACACACACACACACACACACACACACCCATCACTAACAAGCACAACATCACTGCAAGCTAGACTAAGCCACAATGCTGTTGCTGGTCCCACTACCAAGTGAGGGAGCAGCTGGCAAAGACGGCACCTAATTTTATTTCAAATCCTTTTCGTTGGTAGTGTCTGAGATTCTAGAACACTTTTAAAATTAGTTCTTGGGTTCTAGCTTCTTGAAATCCTAGCATTTGCACCAATTGTTGCAATATTAAATTTCTAGCGCTCTCATCATCATATAACCCTTAAAGTACCAAATACACAGTAAGATACTTTTATTAGGATCAAACAAAATTTCAAGGAGAGGTATTTCCTAACTGTGGATAGTGTTTTTTGTTTCTCGTGGACCAGCATGGGTACCTTTTCTTTTTTTCCGTTGCCAAAGTTTTCATTTCCCAGGTTTTTCTCTAGATCCAGATAGTAGAATTATTTTCAGGAAAGATGAGTCAGGTTGCACATTTGAGCAGCAGATGACTAAAGAGCCAGTTGTCTCCTTAGTACCCAATTGTTTCCCTGCATCACATAATTTCCTGTACCTTCTCAGTTGCCTTTTCACATCCCACACATTTCTATAGCTACTTCCAGGGCTGTCCCCAAGATATTTTCCTGCCTGAGACAAGCAGCAAATGGGGCTTTCTTCCCACACCCCAGGCCATGTGCAGAGCGGTAGTCAAAGCCAGTTGAGCTGTTTTGCCCCCCCCCCCCCCCCCGTGCTGCTCTCACCTCCCCTGGCAGTGAAAATACAAGAATAATTAAACAGATAAACTGATAATGAAGACTTCCCATGGGGTGTGTGTATGTCCTAAGGCACCTCTATTTGCAAAAAGTGATAAAAAGAAAGGAGGGCTTTTGTTTTTGTTTTTGTTTTGGGAGGGGGGAGCTTGGGGAGGCAGCCAAAAGAAAAGAACTCAGGCACTGGGAAGGAAAACACGTGTGAGCAGAAAGCCAGCTAGTCCTGGGGAATTGGATGCAGCAGAGCTCAACAGGACTCATGTATCTTTATTCCAGTGAGTGCCATTTTCCTCCAGTTACAAAAAAACAACATATTTCAAAATAACTACAGCAGACTTCAGTCCATGCAAGCTTATTATACCCCAGTAAATGTGTGACTAAAGGTTCTGCAACACTTGCGACTTCCCTTCTGGACACAAAAGAGCAAGCAACCCTCAGCCTCCTCCATCTATTCAACTTTCTCTTGTTGTTAGTCGCAAAGTCGTGTCCGACGCATCGCGACCCCATGGACAACATTCCTCCAGGCCTTCCTGTCCTCCACCATCCCCCGGAGCCCACTCAAGCTCACACCAACTGCTTCAGTGACTCCATCTAGCCACCTCATTCTCTGCTGTCCCCTTCTTCCTTTGCCATCTATCGTTCCCAGCAGGGAATTCCAGGGAGTCCTTCCTTCTCATTAGGTGGCCAAAGTATTTGAGTTTCATCTTCAGTATCTGGCTTCTAAAGAGCAGTCAGGGTTGATCTTCTCTAGGACTGACTGCAAGGGACTCACAGGAGTCTTCTCCAGCACCACAGTTCAAAGGCCTCAATTCTTCGGTGCTCAGCCTTCCTTATGGTCCAACTTTCACAGCCATACATTGCAACTGGGAAAACCATAGCCTTGAGTATACGCACTTCTGTTGGCAGGGTGATGTCTCTGCTTTTTAGTATGCTGTCTAGATTTGCTATAGCTTTCCTCTCCAGGAGCAAGCGTCTTTTAATTTCTTGGCTGCAGTCCCTGTCTGCGGTGATCTTGGAGCCCAGGAAAATAAAATCTGTCACTACCTCCATTTCTTCCCCATCTATTTGCCAGGAAGTGAGAGGACCAGATGCCATGATCTTAGTTTTCTTAATGTTGAGTTTCAAGCCAAATTTTGCACTCTCCTCCTTCACCCGCCTCAAGAGGCTCTTTAGTTCCTCTTCACTTTCTGCCATGAGAGTGGTATCATCTGCATATCTGAGGTTGTTGATATTTCTTCTGGCAATCTTAATTCCAACTGGTGATTCATCCAGCCCCGCCTTTCTCATGATG